AGAACTGGAAAAATCACAAATATGTGGAAATTAATATAATATTAAACAGGCAGTGAGTCCAAGAAGAAATCACAAGGTTTCACAAAAAAGAAAAGAAGAAATCACAAAATTAGAAAATACTGTGAGATGAATGAAAACCAAAAGGCAACCTATCAAAACTTATGGATACAGTGAAGGCTATGCTGAGAGGGAACTTTCTAGTTGTAAAAGTCTACATTAAAAAAGAATTTCTCAAATTAATGGCCTAAATACACCTTCAGTAACAAGAAAAAGAAGCAGAAACTAACCCCAAAGCTAACAGATGGAAGAAAATAATAAAAATGGAAGTAGAGATATATTAAATATAGAGGCCAGATCCTCATGCCTGTAATCCCAGCACTTTGGGAGGCTGAGGTGGGTGGAACACTTGAGCTCAGAATCTGGAGACCAGCCTGGGCAATATCGTGAAACCGTGTCTCTACCAAAAATACCAAATACCAGTCTCATAACTCAGTCTCTAGATAGATAAATAAATAAATAGATAAAAATTTAAAAACTGAATAAAATAAGAAAAGCAAAAGAGAAAATCAAGACAACCAAAAATATATTCTATGAAGATTAACAAAATTGATAAACACTTAGCTATACTGATTTTAAAAAAAAGAGAAAATGCAAATTACTAAAACTAGAAATGAGAGTGGGGGCATTACTACTGATGCCACAGAAATTTTAAAGGATTTTAAGAAAACGGTATGAACAATTGTATATGAACAGATTAGATAATGTAGATAAAATGGAGAAATTCTTAAGAAAAACACAAGCTATTAATACGAAAATGACTCAAGGAGAAATATAAATTCTGGCCAGGCACAGTGGCTCATACCTGTAATCCCACACATTTTGCGAGGCCAAAGCAGGTGGATCACTTGAAGTTAGGAGTTCGAGACCAGCCTGGCCAATATAGTGAAACCCTGTCTCTACCAAAAAATACAAAAATTAGCCAGGTGTGGTGGTGCACACCTGTAATCCCAGCTACTCAGGAGGCTGAGGTAGGAGAATCGCTTGAACCCAGGAGTTGGAGGTTGCAGTGAGTCAAGATCATGTTGCTGCACTCTAGCCTGGGTGACAGAACGAGACTGTCTCATCAAATAAAAAAAGAAGAAGACGAAGAAGAAATATAAACTCTGAACAGATCAAGTAAAGAATTGTTTTTTCACCAATTTGATGCTAAAAGAAAAGAAAATGAATCAGTAATCAGAAACCCCACAACAAATAAAAGCCTAGGACCAGAGAGCTTCACTGGTGAACTCTACAAGACATTTAAAGAAGAATCCTTCTCAAATGCTTCCAAAAAATAGAAGAGGAGAGAGCACTTCTTAACTCATTCTATAAGACCTAGAATCACCTGATACCAAAGCCAGACAAAAACATCACAAGAAAAGAAAATTGCAGATCAATACATATTCAATGTAATATACCACATTAATAGGACAAGGAAAACACATGTGAGTATTTCAGTTGATGCAGAAAAACCGTCATCAAAATTGATCATGCACTTGAAAAATCCAGCACCCTTTCATGATAAAAACACTAGAAATACAAAGGCACTTCCTTAACATGATAAAACGGTATTTGTGAAAAACACACAGCTAACATCATACTCGATAAAGAAAGACTGAAAGCTTTAATCTAAAATCAAGAAGACAAGGATGCCCCATTTCACCACTTCTGTTCAATGTTGTTATGTAAGTTCTACCTGGAGCAAGTAGGGGAAAACACAGAAATCAAAGGCATTAAACTGGAAAGGAAGAAGTCAAATAATTTATTTTTACAAATGATGCAATCTTATGCATATAAATTTCTAAAGAAGCCACAAAAATATTCTTACAGCTAGTAAATGAATTCAGCAATGTTGCAGGATAAAGGATCAATAAACAAAAATCAACTTGTATTTTTATACTCTAGTAATGGATAATCCCAAAATGAAATTTTTAAAAGTTTCCATTTATGATGTCATTAAAAGACTTAAATACTTAGGAAAAATTTTAACCAAGGATATGCAAGACTTTTCCAGTGAAAATGACAAAACACTGCTGAAAACAAATCAAGAATACCCCCTCAGAAATGGAAAGACACCCAGTGTTCATGGATTTGAAGACTTAATGTTATTAATATTGCACTCTCCAAAGTGATCTACAGATTGAATGCAATCCTATAGAAATCCCAAGGGCCTTTCTCTTTTTTTGCAGAAATGGAAATTGAATTATAAGGTTCATATGAAATTGCAAGGCCCAGCAAATAGCCAAAACAATTTTGAAAAAGAACAAAGAAGACTCATGCATTCCAATTTCAAAACTTATTATAAAACTATGATAATCAAAACAATGTGGTACTGACATATAAACTAACAGGATAGAATTGAGAGCCCAAAAATATACCCATACATCTAAGGTAATTTGATTTTTTTTTTTTTTTGAGACAGGGTCTCACTCTGTTGCCCATGCTGGAGTGTAGTGGTGCAATCTTGGCTCACTGCAACCTCCACCTCCCAGGTTCAGAGATTCTCCTGTTTCAACCTCCTGGGTAGCTGGGAGTACAGGTGCACATCACCATGCCTGGCTAATTTTTTTTATTTTCAGTAGAGACAGGGTTTCACCATGTTGGCCAGACTGGTGTTGAACTCCTAGCCTCAAGTGATCCATCTGCTTCAGCTTCCAAAATGCTGGGATTACAGACATAAGCCATCATGCTTAGCCAGTAATTTGATTTTTGACAAGGATGCCAAGGCTATTCAGTCAGGGAAAGAATAGTGTCTTCAACATATGGTGCTTAGAGAACTACATACCTCCATGGAAAAGATTAAAATTGGACCTCTAGTACACACCACACAAAAATTAAATAAAAATGGATCAAAGACCTAAATGTAAAAGCAAAAGGTAAAAAACTCTTAGAAAAAAAACTGGTAAATTTCATTACTTGGATTTGGCAAGAGATTCTTAGATATGATATCAAATGCACAAGCAACAACTACAAAAATAGATAAAGTAGATTTCAGCAAAATTAAGTACTTATGCATCAATGGATACTATCAAAAAAGTGAAAGGCACTCTACAGATGGGAGAAAATATTTATAAATCATATATCTGATAATGGTCTTACATTCAGAACATGTAAAGAATTCCAGGCTGGGTATGGTGCCTCATGGCTGTACCCAGCACTTTGGGAGCCCGAGGCAGGTGGATCACTTGAAGTCAGGAGTTTGAGACCAGCCTAGCCAACATGGTGAAACCCTGTATCTACTAAAAATACAAAGCTGGGTATGGTGGTAGGTGCCTGTAATCCCAGCTACTCAAGAGGCTGAGGCAGGAGAATGGCTTGAACCCAGTAGGTGGAGGTTGCAGTGAGCCAAGATCACACACCACTGCACTCCAGCTTGGGTGACAAGAGTGAGACTCTGTCTTAAAAAAAAAAAAATTCCTACAACTTAATAACAAAAAGACAATTAAAAATTAGCAAAGGATTTGAATAGGCATTTCTCCAAAGAAGATATATAAATGACCAAGAAACATTTGAAAATGTGCTCAACATTAGTCATTAGGGAAATGGAAATCAAACCAAAATGAAAAAAAAAAAAAACCACCACCACAACAAGGTATCACTCAGACCTACTGGGATGATATAATTAAAACAACCACCATCACCACAAAACCAAACAGAACAAGGGCTGGTGAGGAGGTTGTGGAGAACCTGCAGCCCTCATCCACCGCTGTGGGAATGTAAAATGGAGTAGCCATTGTGGGAAACAGGTGGGTGATTCTTCTAAAAGTTAATTATATAATTATCATTATAATTGGTAATTTATACATACTCCTCAAAATTAAAAGCATATTTTCAAACAAAAATTTATATTCTAGTCCTGGCTGCACTATTCACAGCAGCCAAAAGGTGGAAACAATAAAAATGTCTATCAATGGATGAATGGATGAACAAAGTGAGACGGGTACTGAATAATCACGTAACGAAATGCTACCTAGCCATGCAAAGAAATGAAGTACTGATATGTGCTATGACACGGATAAACCTCGAAACGCAACCGTAAGTGAAAAACACCAGTCACAAAAAGTCACATATCACGTAATTCCATTTATATGAAAAATCTAGAATAGGAAGACCCATAGGGACAGGAAGCAGATGAGTATTGCCAGGGTCTGAGGAGGTGAAATGGGAAGTAACTACTTAATGGGAACGGGGTTTCCTTTAGGAGTGATGAAAATGCTTTGGAACTAACAGAGGGGTGCTCACAAAATACGGTGAACAAATATATTAAATGCCAATAAATTGTTCACTCTAACATGATTAATTCTACATTATGTGAATTTCACCTCAGTTTTAAAAAGTTGGTCTTCAGGGATAAGGTGAGACTCAGAGATACTTGATAATATATATTGCTAATTATAAAAATAAAGAACAAGAAACTCTCGTCAAAGATTGGGTAAAGGGCATGGTGTCTACACTATTAATACACTTTTTAATAGGCTGTCACTTTCGTGCAAAAAATCTTGTTGTCAAAGTGTCCTAGAGACAAAATTGCATGGACAATGTAATGACTTTAACTGGTTAAGATGGTCGTATTGAAATGTTCTGTGCCTCTGTGAGTTGCAGAGCCAATGCTAGGGCAGTGTCTAATTGTGTTGGGCACACAGTAGGCACTTATTAAATGGCCGTCTTCTCTGCACTACTACCTTGCATGGGGCTGGCCACAGGCAGAGACACACTACAGAGAAGGAAGAGGGGTCCCAACTTCTGCGGCTCTGGGGAATGTGCTGCTCAAAGTGTTTCTCCTGCAGGCCCTAGCCTGCAGTACTCAGTGTGGCCCAGGCAGCATGCTGTAATCATAGGGGGTCCAGGGTGACAAGCTACAGCACAAGAGAGTCAAGGGAAAGCTCAGGAAGTGACAGGCAGCTGCAGAGAGAAGGGGATACCCTGCCAAGTCTGAAGGTTCCTGGCTGGGAACAGCTCACCTTGGCTCCATCGTTGTGCACCGTCCCTATGTGCAGCCTCCTTTCAACGTGGGACTGCTTCTGCAACTTCTTTCTCTGTGTCTTCTCCAGCCACAAGTCATCCACACTGACAGGTGAGCGGTGAGGGAGGCCCCTAGGATGTGAAGGAGCCTCCCTGGGGACAGCCTCTGGAGAGATGCAGAGGAGGGCCCATGTCACCATCTCAGTGGTGAAGCAAGGCTTCTGGGCTGGCTCCATGTGGAAAGCCTTCTGACTGTGAGAGCAACCGAGCTTCTCACCTGGTGGTTCCTCCCAGGGCATGTGGTTCTGGAGAGCAGAAAGAATGGGTCAGGGGTTAGAGGTCAAAGGACGTATCAACTGGGGACATGCTATCCTTCCTCTGCCCAGTTCCTTTTGGGTTTAACACTATGTTTTGGTTAATTCTCAAAGTATAGAGTCCAGTGAAATAATTTGTTCACAGTCATTTTGGAAAACACGAAGATTAGGAACAAAACAAATCTTGTTTCTGTTAAAATGTCTACTTTCAAGATTATTTTTTAAAAAATCCAGTCTCCTATTTTGATCAAATAATTAGGCCTTGAAGGTAATTACTAAACTTGGCATGCTCATTAGAAATACCTTTTAAAGGCCAGCAACCGAGGTAAAGGGTCCTGCTGAAACAACACCCCTTATGAGCAGAACCAAAGCAGAGGCACACTTCCAGAGCCCAGTACCTCTTCTAGCTAGATGCCGACACTCACTGAACTGTATGCAAGGCTCCACCTCACCAGCGTTGCCACCACCATCCCTGGTTGCCATTACGCACCGGGCACCTTAAGGATTTCAAAATAAAATATGTCCACACTAGCAGAATAGTTAGGCCTGTGTTGGCATCACCAGCATCTCTGTTCTTTGGAATGAGCCACTGGGAGAAGAAACCCTTTTCTTCCCACATGTTGTCCAAGTCTAACGACAGACACTCCATGCCCACCCCATGAATACCTACTTCATAGCAGCAACCTCTATGCAATGGCATCTCCAAGTACTCTGTGTGTACTGTTTGCTAAAAACTAGGTGAAATTTCTCTTAACTATTTCAAGAGTCTGTCTTCAAAATGTGTCTATGCTGGAAGACTGAGTCAGATGAGGCAAGATTTTGCTGATATATTGTTCCTAGAAAAAAAGGGTTGGCAAGAACAGCCCTCACTGGAGACTATCACAGCGCTGACTGTTCTACCCAACACTCTACTCCAGTTGTACAGGTGACTGTCTTTGCTGTAATTTCATACGGACATATCAGTTGGAGGAAAGTGGGGATGATTACTTACTATGCAATCTTGAGTTTTTGCCTCTCAAGTATCTCTTGCTGAACAGAATCTGATGTTTATTTTGTAGGTAAGTACATGGAAAATGAAGTTCTTATTTTAAATTAAGCTCCTTGATAGAGTTTATTTTTATGGTAGAAATTGTAGGGAGTCCCACAATTAGATGGGAAAGTGATTAGATGTATTTGGGAGATTAGAGTATTTTGCATAAGAATTTTCTACAAGATTAGGATTTAATTATAGATCCTCTGCTTAATCTGAGGTATTCTAAAATTAAAAATGTGTGCATATGTGTATGTATGCAGTGAAAGAAAGAGATGGAGGAAGAGAAAATGGATGGCTGGATAATTATTACACAGTGGCTTTGGGGTACAGCCTGAGAATTGAGACTTTTTCTAGCTCTCCAGGTAATTCTAATGGGCAGCCAAGGTTGCAAACCACTGATCTCGTGTGTTTATTTGAACTCCCAAATATTGTTCTACATTTAAAAATCGCTTTTAGCTAGTTCTTTCTCCCCAAGCACCTAGTGGATCAGAAACAGCTGGTATTTCCTCCCTTAGAAACTCAGAGAATTTAAGAGACTTGTTCCCAGCTGGGTCCTCTGGGCTATGCAGCAACAGATAGACCATACTGCTGGGAATTGGTTAGAAATGCAGATTTTCGAGCCCTGAGGGAATGGTTGGCAATTTATGTTTAAAATGCCCTCATGCCCTCCAGGGAATTCTGAGGCAAGGCTAGTCTGAGAGTTACTGTACTAGAGAAATAGGTAGATCAGAGAGAGGCAAGGTAGCTCAGGCTGTCCTGGTAGTCCTCATATGTCCTAGGAGAGAGGGCCAGACAGTAGACTTTGGGGAGGGATAATCTGAGTTTGGCTAATGGACTATTGGCCATTGTTGTCTTCCCAAAAAGACAGCATTAAGAAATGATGAGACAATGGCAGATGAGAAAGTTCACGAAAATTCTGGAAAGGGTAAAGTGGATGTAGGAAGGATAGATGGTGCTGCAGAGCACAAGAAGCTATCTAAAGAAATGCAGATGACTTGGAGTTCGCAGGGAACAAAGCAGGCAGAGGTTCTGGTTTAAAGTTTACAAGCATGACCCTCAGTGAAGGTCCCAGCTCAGTCAGCCATGTGACTGTGTATACTCCCCTTTCTATTTCTCCTTCCCTCAAACTGCCAGGCAAGATCAAACACGAGAGACTTACGGTCCTGAACAATTGAACAAGAATCTCCAGATTGTGAGGACCACAGACTTCCTGGTGAAAGCAGTGGAGAGGTTTGGGATGAAAACAGGGTAGCAAGACAACCTGCATTGTGAACAGGGAGCCACGCAGTACCCTGCTTCATTCTTTCCTGGTATAATCCTGTATCTCCTCAATAAGTGACTGGAGGATACTGCTCTGGAGAAACTGACCCACCTAAGAGAAGGGACCTCTAAACACTGACTTGAGAGAGATCCAAGATGGCTGATCATTAGCAGCTGGGGATTGTAGCTCCCAGTGAAAGTGCAGAAAACGAGAAGACGCCACACTTTCAGACGAATTTTTGTTGCTCATACACCAGGAGATTCCCAGTGAAGGAGCCCCACGGGTCACCAGCACGTCTCTTGTGGCTGGTGAGGCGGTTTTGCCTTGGTGCGGTGGTTCTTGGTGCAGAGGCAGAAAAGCACCATCCATCTTAACTCCACTGTTTTGGCCAGTGCAGTGGGTTGCTCAGATTCTGGTGCTGGGAATCAACAAGTTGGACATCCACTCAGAAACCCAATTATAAAGACGGTAATTATGAAGACCACAGATGGATAAATCTACAACGAAGGGAAGAAACCATCCTTAAAAGGCTGAGAATACCCAAAATCAGAACGCCTCTCCCTCTACAGGGGATCACAGTTCCTCATCAGCAACGGAACAAGGCCTCATGGAGAACAAGTGTGTTCCATTAACAGAAGCAGGCTTGAAAAGGTGGATAATAAGAAACTTATGTGAGTTAAAAGAACTTGTTCTAACCCAATGCAAAGAAACTAAGAACTTTGAAAAAAGGTTTGACGAAATGTTAACAAGAATACACAATTTAGAGAGGAATATAAGTGAATTAATGGAGCTGAAAAACACAACACGAGAACTTCGTGAAGTATGCACAAGTTTTAACAGCTGAATTGATCAAGCAGAAGAAAGGATATCAGAGGTCGAAGACCAACTTCATGAAATGAAATGAGAAGACAAGATTAGAAAATAAAGGATAAAAAGGAATGAGCAAAGTCTCCAAGAAATATGGGACTATGTGAAAAGACCTAATCTACGTTTGATAGGTGTACCTGAATGTGATGAAGAGAATGAATCCAAGCTGGAAAATATGCTTCAGGATATTATCCAGGAAAACTTTCCCAACCTAGCAAGGCAGGGCAATATTCAACTCCAGGTAATACAGAGAACACCACAAAGATATTCCTCAAGAAGACCAACCTCAAGGCACATAATTGTCAGATTAACCAGGGCTGAAATGAAGGAGAAAATATTAAGGGCAGCCAGAGAGAAAGGTCAGGTTACCCACAAAGGGAAGCCTATCAGACTCACAGCAGATCTCTCAGCAGAAACCCTACATGCCAGAAGAGAGTGGTGGCCAATATTCAACACCCTTAAAGAAAAGAACTTTCAACCCAGAATTTCACATCCAGCCAAACTAAGCTTCATAAGTGAAGGAAAAATAAAATTTTTTGTGAACAAGCAAGCTCTCAGAGATTTCATCACCACCAGGCCTGCTTTACAAAAGCTTCTGAAAGAACCACTACACATAGAAAGGAACAACCAGTATCAGCCTTTCTAAAAAATACCCAAAATACCAAAAAGTAAAGAGTATCAACATAATGAAGAATTTACATCAACTAATGGGCAAAACAGCCAGTTAACATTAAATGGCAGTATTAAACTCACATATATTATTATTAAGTTTCCCAATAATAGTGGAAGACTTCGACATCAATATTAGACAGATCAATGAGACAGAAAATTAACAACGACATCCAGGACTTGAACTCAGATCGGGAACAAGTAAACTTAATTAACATTTATAGAACTCTCCACTTTAAATACACAAAATACGCACTCTTATCAGTACCACATCACACCTACTTACAGGTTTAAATGAAATATTGGTTGGCTGCTTGTTTGTTATTTTCTTCCCTCATTTCTTTCGTGTCTTCATTATTAAGCCCAGTTATAGGAATACCCATTTTTAGACTGCATTCTAGCCCAGGCAATAAAGCAACACCCCTGTTCTCTCTCCCTCTTCCTCTTCCTCTTTCTTCCTCTCCTTCATTCTTTATTATTATTATTATTCTTTTTCTTTCCTTCTTTCTTTTTTAAAAAAGAAAAAAAAGAAAGAAAGAACACTGACTTATGAAATAAGCAACTTCTCTTCTTCTTCCTTTTTTTTTTTTTTGAGACGCAGTTTTGCTCTTGTTACCCAGGCTGGAGTGCAATGGCATGATCTCAGCTCACCGCAACCTCCACCTCCTGGGTTCAAGCAATTCTCCTGCCTCAGCCTCCCAGGTAGCTGGGACTACAGGCATGTGCCACTGTGCTTGGCTAATTTTTTTGTATGTTTAGTAGAGACGGGGTTTCACCATGTTGACCAGGATGGTTTCGATCTCTTGACCTCGTGATCCACCCGCCTCGGCCTCTCAAAGTGCTGGGATTATAGGCATGACCCACCAGGCCTGGCCGCAACTTCTCTTTTAATCACTCAACTGGAAAGCACACTAGCTGATTAGCTCCACATGTGCTCACATAATATCTAAACAAATATTTGGTGTCGTCCTCTGAATAAATATGAAATTCACCTAAGGATTGCTAGGCATTTAGGAAAAACCTTCAACTAAAATGACCAAACTAAACAAATGGGAAAAAAACTGGGAAAGAAAAAATGTAAAGGATAGAAGAAAACTTCAAAAGAACTAAAATTAATAACCTGAAGACGAAAAAGGAAGACATTGAAATCATTAAACAAAA